AACATTGTGCTGGAAGTCCTAGCTAGAGCAATAAGGCAAGAAAAAGAGATAAAGGGCAACCAAATTGGTAAGGAAGAAGTAAAACCATCCCTATTCGTGGATAATATGATACTATTACATACAGAACCCTAAAGACTCCACAAGAAAACTACTGGAACTAATAGAAAGATTCAGCAGAGTAGCAGGATACAAGATAAACATGCAAAAATCAGTTGGATTCCTATACATCAAAAAAGAGAACTATGAAAAGGAAATCAAGAAAGCAATACCATTTATAATAGCCCCTAAAAACAAAACAACAACAACAAAAAAAAAAACTTAGGAATAAATCTAACTAAGGATGTAAAAGACCTATACAAAGAAAACTACAAAACACTACTGCAAGAAACCAAAAGAGACCCACATGAATGGAAAAACATACCATGCTCATGGATAGGTAGACTCAACATTGTGAAAAGGTCAGTTCCACCCAAAGCAATCTACAAATACAATACAATCCCAATCCAAATACCAACAGCATTCTTTAACAAGATGGAAAAATTTATCATTAACTTTATATGGAAAGGAAAGAAGATCCAGATAAGTAAAGCATTATTGAAGAAAAAGAACAAAGTAAGAGGCCTCGCATTACCTGACCCCAGAACCTTCTATACAGCTACAGTAGTCAAAACAGCCTGGTAGTGGTACAATGATAGACATATTGACCAATGGAACAGAATCGAACATCCATCTACCTATGGCCACCCAATCTTTGACAAAGGCCCAAAGTCCGTTAAATGGGGAAAAGACAGTCTTTTTAACAAATGGTGCTGGTAAAACTGGATGTCTAGCCGTAAAAAAATGAAACAGGACCATACCTCATACCATACACAAAAACTAATTCAAAATGGATCAAAGACCTAAATATAAAAGCAAAACCTATGAGATCATGGAAGAAAAGATAGGGTCAACGCTTGGGGCCCTAATATGCAACATAAACAGGATACAAACCATAATTAACAATATACAAACACCAGAAGATAAGCTAGATAAACAGGGTCTCCTAAAAATTAAACACTTATGCTCATCAAAAGACTTCACCAAAAGAGTAAAAAGAGAACCTACAGACTGGGAAAAAAATTTTGGCTATGACATATCCAACAAAAGTCTAATCTCTAACATCTGTAGGAAAATCTAGCACCTCTACAGTAAAAAGACAAATAATGCATTTAAAAAATGGGCAAGGGATATGAGCAAACACTTCACTAAAGAAGACATTTAGGCAGCTAACAGACACATGAGGAAATGCTAGCCATTAGAGAAATGCAAATCAAAACTATAATGAGATATCATCTCACCTGACATTACTGACACAACTCAAAAAAACAGAAAATAACAAATGTTGGAGATTGCAGGGAGATTGGAACTCTTATGCACTGCTAGTGGGAATGCAAAATGGTACAACCATTTTGGAAAACAATATGACGTTTCCTTAAAAAGCTAGAAATAGAAGTACCGTACAGTCCAGCAATCCCACTCCTAGGAATATATCCTAGAGAAATAAGAGCCGTTACATGAATAGACATATGCACACCCATCTTCACTGCAGCATTGTTCACAGTAGCAAAAAGATGGAAACAACCTAGGTGCCCATCAACAGATGAATGGAACCATGGTACATACACACAATGGAATACTATGCAATGATAAAGAACAATGATGAATCTGTGAAGCATCTCACAACATGGATTAATCTGGAGGGTATTATGCTGAGTAAAATGAGTCAATCACAAAAGGACAAATACTGTATAACATGACTATTATAAAAACGCATGAAAATGTTTCCACACAGAAAGAAACAATCTTTGATGATTATGAGGGAGGGGAGGGATGGGGATGGAAAAACACTAACTAGATAGTAGATAAGTGGTAACTATGGTGAAGGTTAAGACAGTACACAATACTGGGAAGTTGGCACAACTTGACCAGGGAAAAGTCACAGAAGCTTCACAGACACATCTAAACACCCTGAGAGACCAAGCTACTGGGCTGAGGGCCGGGGACCATCATCTTGGGAGACATCTAGCTCAATTGGCATAACACATCTATAAAGAAAATGTTCTACATCTGACTGTGGTGAATAGCTACTGGGGTCTTAAAAGCCTGCGAGCAGCCATGTAAGATATCTACTCGTCCCATCCCAGCTGGAGCAAAGGAGAATGAAGAAAATCAAAGACACAAGGGAAAGATTAGTCCAAAGGACTAATGGACCACAACCTCCACCAGACTGAGCCCAGAATAACCAGATGGTGCCCAGCTACTACCACCAACTGCTCTGGCAGGAATCACAATAAAGGGTCCCCAGCTGAGCGGGAGAATAATGTAGAACAAAATTCAAATTAAAAAAAAAAAGAGACCAGGCTTGCTGGTCTGACAGAGAAACTCCAAGAATATGACCCCCAGACTCCCTTTTAACTCAGTACTGAATTCATTCCTGAAGTTTACCCTTCAGCCAAAGATTAGACAGGTCTATAGGGCCAACAAGAACATACATGAGGATGTGCTTCATAGTTCAATCATGTACAAGACTAATGGGCACACCAGCCCAAAAGCAAAAACAAGAAGGCAGGAATGGACAGAAAAACTATGAATGGAAACAAGGAAACTGGGGTACAGAAGAGGAGAGTATTGACACATCACAGGGTTGTCAACCAATGTCACAAAACAATTTGTGTATAAACTGTTTAGTGAGAAACTAATTTGCTCTGTAAACTTTCACCTAAATCACAATAAAAATAAAACAGAGTGTGGGAGTTAAGCTCAGGCTCTGGAGTCACATACTAGCTGTGTGACCTTGGGCAGGTTAATTTACCTCTCTGAGCCCATTACTAAACTCAGATCCTATCATATTCCAGGGAAATAAATACAGAAATCTAACCTGGGAGGAAAAGTCTTACATACCAAATGAGTAGTAAGATCTTGTTAATTAATACCGACAAATAATGGGGATATGTCTGGAAATGGAGTCTAAGGGTGCTAGACCAGAGAAGAAAAAACATGCTTTCAGAGCGGGCTAAATTTTTCATATGAATGTCCTTGCTAGTGATTCTGAATTCAGGGTGGCAGCTCAAGCAGCTGGGAGTGGTCCTGTTTGCTGAAGTTGTGGACCAAAACCTGGACTCCTCTCTGAACCAAGTGAGGCTGAGATGCCAAAAATCTCTTAGTGTAATACAGAGGAAGGAATCCAAAGCAGGCGAGATGGAGTGGATTTGTCATGTGTACCCAGCGCAATGCTTGGCACAAGTAGTTTCAGTGACTGTTCACTGAAGGAGAGTTGAACAGGTTTTGGCTCTCTGGCCTAAACCCAGTGTTTCTGGCTAAGACAAGGGTGAGGCCAGGCCCTGGGCTTTCATCACCCTTCACCAGTGCTGTCACTTCCTTTTCCCTTTCCAGTGTTAGTCAGAGCCAATATCAAACCCACTCTCACCCCTCAGGAAGCTGGGCCTGGGCTGCTGCTTGTTGCCTCCAGGGCTTAGATAGCCAGGGTCCCACCCAAGCCACAGATATTCAGCAGTCTCTAGGATAAACCCATTGCCATTGAGTCGATTCCTACTCATAGCCAGCCTATAGGACAGAGTAGAACTGCCCCATAGAGCTGCCAAGGAGCGGCTGGTAGATTCGACCTGCCGACCTTTTGGTTAGCAGCCATAGCTCTTAACCACTGCGCCACCGGGGCTCCAGGATAGGCCCACAGGTGCTCTTAAGCTTTTGCCTACTTCTCCTGATCTAAACCTGGTTTCAGGAAAGCATCTGAAACTTGTTCACACTAGAGTACAAATGACTGATGAAGCAAATTATTATCTCTCCCATGTGCATTGCACAGTCATCCTCACCACAGCCCTGAGATGTATTTATTGATCATTATCCCATCTTATGATAAGGAAACTGAGGTTCAGAGGTCAGCATGCCTCTGTCTCTAGATCCTCTCCCAGGGAGACGCGATTTCTAAATGAACAAAACCAGTGTCTTTTTATTTTAGATGTGTCTGTTTGTAGACAGAATATGCCTACATTTTTATTTTTTACCCAAACAGAGAGTCTTTGTCTATAATGGGAGGAATGTAACCTAATCACATGTATTGTGATCACGAATATATTTGGAAATATATAAAATATAAAATATATATAAAAGGGCACAACCTTAGGCCAGTGTGAAAAGCTCTAACTGCCCTGTTAAAGTGGGCAGTGTTTGTGGGCTTTCCCAACAAACTGTGGGGTCATACCTGCTTCTAAGCCTAAGGCCAGGCTGGCCAGTTGGATGCAATGAGAGCCCTTCTCTCTGGCCGTGTGGTCTCCTCGCTTCCTCTGAAGACTACAGCGGAAACCTTTCCCCTGCCTCAGGCGGGCTCCTTCTGGACCACAAACATCAAGCTGTTCATCCCCTTGGACCTGAGCCATCAAAGTATTTGACCGGCATTTCTCCGCTTTGGAAACTCCGTCTGATGATGGAGGCTCAAATGTCAGTTGTCAACTTGTTTCTTCCTAGAAGGAGATCAACTTGGAGCCCCTGTCTAGCCAGTGGGTAGAACTGACACTCCTTTCAGCCCTCCCTGGCACTTCCTAGCTAAGCATGTGCATGCATGTATGTGTGTGTGAGTGTATGTCTCCACAGGCCCGACTCCAGGAGAGGCCAGGATTGTGGAAAGCACAGGATAAGCAAAGAGGCAGGTGACGTCACCGCTTTGTGCTCCATTCTCTTCATTGCCACTCCACCCCAACTCACCCCACTCAAGCCACAGTTCACTCTCCCCACAGGGCCTCTAACTGTGTTACACAGTCTTCCTTTGGTCATCATGTGGCTGTTTCTTTCTCCTCATTCAGAAGTCAGCCCAAGGATACCTCCTCAGAGAAGCCTTCCCTGACCACCTTTCCTCAAGTAGCACTTCCCCCACTAATCTGCCCATCTGGTCACTAGCTATCACCTCCCCATTTATTTTCTTCAGAGCACTAGCATATATGAAAGTATCTCGCTCGCTTGCTTGCTTGTTTATCATCCATCTTCCATGTCTAGAATGTCCATTCCATAAGAGCACAAAGTCTGTCTTGTTTATCCTTGTATCCTCAGCACCTAGAACAGTGCCTGGAATGTGGAAGATGCACAAATATGTATTAAACGAATGAGCAAGGTTGTGGGGAGAATGGTTAGAATATTAAACACCCAAAGAATGTTAGCTCGGTAAGGGCTCTAGCTTATCTCATTTCACCCTTTTTCAGCCATTATGTAAGGTGGGGATTCTTATGCCCATTTTTTAGGAAACTGAGACTCAAACCCAGACCTCTCTGACTCCAAAGCTGGGACACACTGTTGTCATACCTGTTGACTTGGAGCCTCAGAAAGTAGCTGTTACAGTACGCGTATGTTACCCATAGAAGAATGGGAGCCACCGGTTTCTATGGAATTGATCACAGACGTGAGGGCCCAAAGCCTCACACCAAAGGATGAACTCTAATTAGCATGTCATGCAGAAGGAATGGGCAGAAGGACCTGGATGGGGAGGTGGGATATTTGGCTTCTAATCTACACTCTTCCAGTTACTGACTAAGGGATGCTGGGCAAGTCACTTGGCCTTGCTGAACCTGAGGGTGTTTGACATCTACTGCCTCTTCTGTGAACATCAAATAAGATAGTGAATGAGAAAGGACTTGTAGAGAAGAATCTAGACACCAGACTGTTACCAGCAGTTACTCTTGGGATCAAGAGTGAGTCTGAGAGGTTGCGGAGAAGGGATGCTTTAACACTTTATCCTTTAGACTGTGCAGATACCTTACCTGGGGATCTTGTTAAAATGATCTAGGTCTGGGGTGGAGCCTAATAGTCAGCATTTCTAACAAGCTCCCAGGGGATGCCTATGTTGCTGGTTCACAGATCACACTTTGAAAATCAAGATTTTATATGTTTAGATTGCTTGAATCTTTTACAGTAAGAAATTATTCATGTATTGAGTTTTTTTTTAAAAGTTATATCAATCTCAGCTGTCATTAAAAAACAAAACCAAATCCATTGCTGTTGAGTCGATTTTGACTTACAGCAACCTTATAGCACAGAATAGAACTGCCCCCCCCATAGGGTTTCCAAGGAGCAGCTGGTGGATTCGAACTGCTGACCTTATGGTTAGCAGCTGAGCTCTTAACCACTGCGCCACCAGGACTCCCTCAGCTGTCATTAGTATTAATTAATTATTAAGAAAATAAATAAATTTGACATCAAGTTCATTGTGGGTGCAGACCTGGATTGGAATTCCAGCTCCACCGACAGCTAGCTGTGTGAATATAAGGAACTTACTCAGTTTCCTTGACAGTAAAATGGGGACAACAGCACCCCCTACCTCCTGGTGTCGTTGTGTGGATTAAAATGAGATAATGCTACGTTGTTATTGTAGTTAACTGCTAAGGAGTCCACTGACTCGTGGCGACCCCGTGCACAGCGGAATGAAATGCTGCCGGATCCTGCACCATCCCCGTGATTAGTTCAGCAGAGCTTCCAGACTAAAATGGACTAGGAATAATGCATGAACGCTCAGTAAATGCGAAGCAGCGGTTCCTCCGCTATTTGGTCTCTGGTGGGTGCTGCCAAGTCCCCATTTCACCGCGGAGCGGAGACGTGGGATCAATGGAACAAGGGCAGGAGTGGCCACAACCTACTCCCCTTGGCTGCCCTCGGCAGGATAGGTGCGGAAAGGCACCAGTGGGCCGGGCCGGGATGTCTGAGGCAGAACAAAGTGAAGACGGAACCTGCTTCGTTAAGCAGAGAGCCGCTGGGCACAGCGTACCCTCTAGTTTTAATTTTGAGAGCTCAGCCTTGCTCCTTATCCCTGGGCAGGCAAACTGGTCTCCCTGCCCTCCTCCTCCTTCACTAAAGGCAGGGTCACCGGGCGGTCTTGTCCATTGGGGATGACAAACACAGGGTGCAGGGGATGACACACAAGGCAGCTTTGCAAGACCCACGGAAATATGTGAGACTGGGGGGAAAAAATGCATCCACTCCAAAAAGTGCAGGAAAAAACTATGCTATCAAAATCAATAATTCATTTCAAAAGCAATATTAAAAATTTCAAATCATATATAATATGGGATCGGTTTTCTATTGTTCATGATGGGGGACAGGAGGATTCGGAAAAGTCATTCCAGGAGCCTAAGAAAGGAAGACCTGGCGGCCCAGTGATTAAGCACTGGGCTGCTAACCAAAAGGGTGTTGGTTCCAACCCACCCAGCAGCTCCTCAGGAGATACACCTGGCAATTGGCTTCCGTAAATATTCCAAGAAAACCAAACAAAGCCCGATGATGTGAAGTTGATTTCAACTCGTAATGACCTTATAGAACAGAGTAGGACTGCCCCATAGGGTTTCCAAGGCTGTAACCTTTATGGAAGCTGACTGCCACATCTTTCTCCATGCAGCCTGACAACATTATGAAGTGTATTCTATTACAGTACCCATTTTACAGATGAGGAAACTGAGCTAGCTAGTGGTAGACCCGGGATTCATATCATGTCAGAACAGAAATGATCAAAGTGCTCTTTACTCTGCCACTAACTAGCAATGTGACCTTAAAAATAAAAAAATAATGGCACCTTAAATTTTTACAGCACTTTACAATGTACATGCATTATCTCACTTATCACATTTAATCTCTCCTCTGCTCTTATCCCTATTTTATAGCTAGTGGAATAGAGGTTCAAGGTCACATAAATATTAAAAGGCAGAACCAGAGGAAGGACCTAGGTTTCTGGATTGAGGCAGCAGGTTGTTTTTGAAAGAACATGCCTGAAATTTGGAATCTGGTAAATCTTGTTTTGAATCCTAGCCCCTATACACGGGCAGTGGCAACTTGAAAAAGGGACTGCCCCGTGCTGAGCCTCAGTTTCCTCATCTGTAAAATGAGGATAAGAATGTTCATAGCTGAGAGGTGGTTGGGTGGATGAAAGGAGTTGTCTCATATAGAACACCAGCCATGAGGTAGGAAGGCCAGACAGCGCTCATTCCCTGGGCCACACTGCCCTCCTCTTCTCCTCTTGAACCTCAATTTCATTTCCTCAAGTGTAAGCAAAGAGAATAGAATAAATGTTATGAGTGCCCTGCCAGTTCTAACTCCCTGTAATTTCACGAGTTCTATCTGTTATTGTGTATAACCCACACAACAAAGTGATTTTGGTCCCTATTTCAATCCTTTGCTAACCCTAGACACATTTTAATTGCAATTCCTCCTTTGCAAACTAAGGATTCCCAAAATGCAGTGTTCATTTGTTAAAACCAACATTTACTGATCCCTTGCATTAAATAGGAGCCCTGGTGGTACAGTGGTTATGAGTTTGGCTGCTAATCAAAGGTCAGCAGTTCGAATCCACCAGCCACTCCTTGGAAACCCTATCAGGCAGTTCTACCCTGTCCTATAGGGTCGCTATGAGTCAGAATTGACTTGAATGCAACAGGTCAACAGGTGTCATGTTAAATATAGACAGTCCCTAGGTGGCACAAATGGTTTGCTCTCAGCTACTAACCAAAAGGTTGGTGGGTCGAAGCCATCCAGTGGCACCACAGAAGAAAGGCCTGGTGATCTCCTTCTGTAATATTAAAACCCTCTGGAGCATAATTTTACTCTGACACACATGGGGTCCCCATGAGTCAGAATCCACTCTACAGCAATGGGTTTGTTTGGGGTTTTTTTGGTTTTTGTGTTAAGTACATGGATTCCCCTCACAACCCTCCTCAAGACAGCTCCACAAGGCAGGTGTTATTATTCCCATTTTACAAATGAGGAAGCTGAGGCTCAAGCCATTCAACATGGGGACTGGGCTTCCCCTTCCCTGGCAGGTCCTATTCCTCCAGCCCTGGCCTGGCGTTTAGGGAAATGTTTTTCTGCTCTGCTAGCCCACACTGGAAGAACTAGTCTGTTTCTCTGCAATAAGAAGCTGCAGAATAAGTGCAGCATTGCTGAGTATGTGTGGGTGGAAAAGGAGCTGGCAAGTTGGGACCCTACCCAATCTCTTAGCTAAGGAAGGTGGAAGTAGAAACCCCGCAGCTTATGCAAAGCAGGGATGGTTTGTTATCTGGTTGGGGGTCTCAAAGTTCTCATGCATTTCTAGGAGAGACTCAGATTCTGGAAAAAAAACGTACAGGGGCTGCAGAATTCTATTTAAATTTAATTTTGCTTTTAAATTACAGATGTATAGATTCCAGAAAGTTTAGATAAAAGAGAAAAAATAGTACTACAAAATCTGTGAAAGCCTGAACTTGTATAAGGCAGAAACCTGTCAGAGAAGGAAAACTCAAATGTCTTCCATTAAAAGGAGCGATAGAAAAGCGGTAAGACTGCACCCTGTCAAAGGTGGAAAACTTGCGAGACCTGGAAAGACAAGGCAGTCCTGTCAAGTTCTGGATCTCACAGGTTTCACTGGATC